CATTGATGGACCTATCTTCCATGAATCTATCTAGCTCCGTTTTGAACCCTGTTATAGTATTGGGTTTCACAACATCCTCCGGCAAGGAGTTCCAGAGGTTGACAGTGCATTGCGTGAAAAAATACTTCCTTGTGTTTGTTTTAAACCTGCTACCTATTAATTTCATTTGGTGGCCCTTTATTCTTGTTTTATGAGAAGGAGTAAATAACACTTCCTTATTTACTTTCTCTATACCACTCATGATTTTATAGACCTCTCTCATCGCTCCCCTTAGTCGCCTCTTTTCCAGGCTGAAAAGTCCCAGGTTTATTAATCTCTCCTCATACGGAAGCCATTCTATACCCCTAAGCATCTTTGTTGCCCTTTTCTGAACCTTTTCCAATTGCAATATATCTTTTTTGAGATGGGGCGACCACATCTGCACGCAGTATTCAAGGTGTGGGCGTACCATGGATTTATATAGAGGCAACATGATACTTTCTGTCTTATTATCTATCCCTTTCTTGATGATTCCCAACATTCTGTTTGCTTTTTGGACTGCTGCTGCACATTGAGTGGATGATTTCAGAGAACTATCCACAATGACTCCAAGATCTCTTTCTTCAGTGGTAACAGCTAATTTAGACCCCATCATTGTATATGTATTAGGATTATGTTTTCCAATGTGCATTACTTTGCATTTATCAACATTAAATTTCATCTGCCATTTTCTTGCCCAGTCACCCAGTTTTGTGAGATCCTTTTGTAGCTCTTCGCAGTCTGCCTGGGACTTAACTATCTTGAGTAGGTTTCAGAGCAGCAGCCGTGTTAGTCTGTATCCGCAACCCACAGAATCCTCCCTACCAGCACTACAAAAAGAAGGATTCTGCGTGGACTCCTCTGGACGGTCGAAACAACAGACTGGACTTCTACATAGATTGCTTCCGTCAACATGCAAAGGCTGAAATTGTGGAAAAGCAATATCACTTGCCCCATAACCTCAGCCATGCTGAACACAACACCATCTACAGCCACAGAAACAGTTCTGACATCATAATCAAAAAGGCTGACAAAGGAGGTGCTGTCGCCATCATGAATAAATTGAAATATGACCAAGAGGCTGCTAGACAGCTCTCTAACACCACATTCTACAGGCCATTATCCTCTGATCTCACTGAGGATTACCTAAAGAAACTAACTATCTGCTAAAAAAACTACCCTGACAAAGACACAGGAACAAATACTGTACAGA